AACTGATAATGTAAAACTTGGGCGCAAAAAAAATTGATTCCGTAGAACTCATAAATATTAATTGTACGTGTGGTTGACGGTCGTAAATATTATTGTTGTGTGCAGTGCCGATCGATTTAGCAATATTAACCGCTACGGTATAGTCAATATTACAGCTGGTGTACCTAGATATATTATTACATTATAATTACGTATAGGTATGCGCAGGCTCACGCAACACTAACGAAAATGCCGTCCCGCCGTCATGCCATGTTAAATTGCCAGCGTTTTCGTTTTTATAATATTTTATTTGCAAGCTTATCCCCCTTACCGTCGCCGCACAAACCTCGTCGTCCCGCTGGTCCGATATGACATGTCGTTATATGATTGTCGCGACGATATCTCATGTGGCGATGACGTGGGTGCAGCGCGACAGACGCCTTTTCAATTTGTTATACCAAAAAATTACATTCTGTGCCGCGATTTACAACGCGCGGAGCCAAGGGATGCCGCACCCGAAATCGTAGCGAATTTTAAAGGCAGTGACGCGAGGGAAAAGAAACCACACGACAACGATCATTTTCGATATATTCTGTTGCAACGGTTTCGGGTAGACGAACGAATAGAACGAAAATAAAAAATAAATATCATAACAATATAAACTGGAAATGTATATATATGAGTTTTCCATTACCAACTATTTCGTTCGACGTTTATTATTATTATTATTATTTATATATATATATATATATATATATATATATATATATAGGAACGTTCGATGAATGGAAAATATTTCTACAAAACAGTATTATTTTTCAAAATGCCCTCAAAAAATGAATTATTTATCGTCAGCTGTAATAATATTGAAAGCTGCACAGCGTACAGTGCATGACTCGTTTCGAAGAACTCCAAACGCCACAATCGTCTTTTACATGTTTTCCCTTTTCGTTTCTTTACATCAATAAATGAGCATTTTATAACACGCCAAAACGATGATATTATTGTTACTAGGTATAATTTTATTTTACTCTTATATTTTATGTTGTATATATTTGCGCACACACGCCGCTGACTGTCTTGCCTCACGCATTCGGACTGTCGCGAGATGTCGCCGACGAGACTACGGGTCCAGACGACATTCCCGCATACATATCGAGTATCTCCGGCCGTGGATTATTATTCGCGTTTTGTCTCTTCACAATTATTCGTGTTTTTTTTTTTTTTTTTAATATTATTATTCTTTTTGGTGCCCCGTCAACGTCTGAAACCGACAGTTTGTTTAATGATCGGTCGTTTATCATCGGTTTCCGGTGGCCGTGTACGAAATCTCTACGATACAATAAAAAATATTATACAGAATGAATCAGAATCACCAAGCATACTCATTCCCATTTCTTAATAGAATAATTTACTTATTCAAATTGTGATATTTAGAATGTTTAAATATTTATTGAGACAATATTTTAAAATTCTTGCGATTTTATGTTCCACTTGAATGTCCTGTGGCGACACAAACTTCTATTTTTCAAATGAGAGCCTTTTTAAATTGTAAATTGTTAAGTAGATATTTATTTTTTTTTTATTTTTATATCTTTAATTTGAAATTCTATTAAGTATAGTTTTCAAACTATTAAAATGTTTTTACTAACAACAAAAATCCACAGAAAACAGTATTTTAAAAATATAAAATAGATATATTATTACGTCTAATAGTTTATTAACCATTTTTACAAATTATTAATTAGGTACTACAATTTTCAAGTTGCCATAACCATTTGTATCTTCTAAACCTATTAACGTGGGCTTATCCTTAATAAACACAGTTACATAATTCAAGAACTTCTCTTTAGAATTTTAATTTTGATAGACAATTTTTTTGGAAAAATTATCCTTTATATAGTTTACAGTAGAAAATAGAGGTGGTCATTTGAAAAAAAAAATAGTAGTATCTCTACAAGATTCTTCTTTAAGTAGTACAAAATAATCTCAAGAATTTTAAAATATGGTCTTTAATTACATTATAAAATCATATTTTAAATAATACCAAAGAAAGTGAGTACGCTTGGTAAATCGCCTCGTATGGTTTTATTATATTTACCAATACGCTTATGCCTTCTAAAAACGACCGAGGTGAGATGACCGCGATTAAGGAATAGATTCAAGACAATAATCACATGGTTAGTGCTGTGACACTCTTGCTTGGGAGATGGACACGTCCGCCGCAGCAACGTTTCGAAAATTCGGTTCGTCGTTTATCAACGCGGAAGAGAACGCGCCACGGAGTCGAACGAAACTCCTCTGCGGATCGAAAGTGCGTTTGGAACGGACGAGAGAATATAATATCGTGCGAACGAAAATCGACCATGATGGCGGCCGTAATATTATTATATACGCGTAGGACCTACATTGTAGGTAATGTGTACAGGCCGCCAAAAACACCCTCTCCTGTTTATCCACCCACCATCCCGTGTGCAGCTCGGTCTGCAACAGACTATGTATCGCGACGACGATAAATCACGGTTGGGGTTATTTTTTGTCCGCTCCACACATGACATATAATATTGTATATACGTATATCCCGTATACAGTAAACATTTTCAACGATTGGGCGGCGGGTGAAAAAGCTAGAACGCACAAATTCACGTGCCCGAAAAATCGTTTTCGCCGAGGACGGAATGTATACGCACAAAAGAATATTATATGATATATATATATATATATGATACGCGCGTTATACCGCCTCTAAGGTTATACATCCTTCGCTGGCGTCGCCAACAAAAATATACGCGTGAAAGGCGAAAAGTTTCTTTCGTTCCAAACTCTGTCGCTTACACCCTAACAGTTACCGTACATATTATATATAATATATATATATTTGTGTGTGTGTGTGTGTGTGTGTATTAATATTTTCGGAATGAAAGCGTGATCTCGAACAAGACCGTATTTCAGTTGTCGGTAAGAGTAAAAGAGGGGGATTATCGTCAAAGATTACAAAACGACTGTAAAAGACAAACGCAACGACTTTTGTCGAAAAAAAATCGATCATCGACTTATATATTATACAAGTATATATATATATATAAATATAATATTATAATTAAAAAAATACATTATTATTGTGAGCCCTCCTCTCTTTGACGCTTTTTTTCCTACCGTCACCCTCATAACGTTCTTATTGCTCTGAGCTTAAAAATTATTATTACGGTCACGAAGATAGTGAGTATAATATATACCTTATACATACTATATAGGTCTTGAGTGTGTATATATATATCGGAGACTTATACATAGATATACGTGGGCTGGACCAACGGTAAATCGGCAAAATGATATCGATTGATATACTACCGCTACATTTATATATATATATATATATATATACGATTGGAAAAAAAACTTTTAATTTCGGTTGATTTACGGTAAGTACCTACACTATACTTTCTTCCGTGGCAGAGCGGTGGTCGCAGATCGGAGCTTTATAATAAAGACGAAGAGATGGAAAAAAATCCGATAAATCGGTGTACGAAATAATTATTATACCCTAAGAAGTTCGTCGAAACGGCAAATCGAATTCCTGCAGCTACAACGAATATTACGGTCACGAAATCGCTAATATATATACTAAACTAACTTAACCTTTATAATAGTTGTACAGGCTTACTTAAATAAACATTAATTCATGCAAGTAATGTCCTACAGTGTGTAGGATAAAGGGCAGGTTAGTATGAAGAAGTATTAATTAGAAAACAATATAAATTGTCGCTTTTAAAAACTAATTGTAAGTGGTACTATTGATTACAACAACTATGATTATTTCAGACATTAATTTCTAGAATATAATCAGTGGTATTCGATAGTTTTTTCCATACGCTTGAAATAAACAGTTTTGAGCGTAGATAAATAAGAAACATTAAATTGTAAGAATCGCGGGCAATCTAAAAATGACTACGAATCGTAAGCATATGCGAAACAAACTATTATGTTTATCAAACACATTTTATATTGCCCCGTAGACTACTATAAACAAACTATTTGCTAAATGTAAGTAAAAAAATTCCAGAGACCAATTTAATATGTGTTATTTAGGTATAGACTATAGAAGCGTTTACAAAATGTTGAATATTTATACATTTTCTTAAAACCGTGTTCATTCTTTGGCCATGTTTATAGTCAGTACATAAATGCTAATTCGTTTCCTCCATTACATTTTTCAATATAGGCCAAATTGAATGCACGCCATGGTGCATTTTTTAATTTTTCGAGTTCTTATTAAAATCACTCATAATTATTGGACATAATATAATAACAATTATTAATTGTATCCTGGTGATCACGTTTCACCACAGTCTACGTGTATAATATATAATGCATAGGTACCACACCCACCGTGCAAGAAACTGTTCCAAACATTCTAGGAATATACATTTTAAGTTCCACTATTAACATAAGAATGGTACATTCAATGAAAGTATCTGTAATGTTCCACAAAAACATGCGTTGTATTAATTTTAAGTTCCAATGTAAACATTACAACGAAACGTTCCCGCAGACCTACATTTATGGTTTCATAAAAACGTTGCTTAGTAAATTTATAATGGTTCCCAATATGTTACGGGAATATTTCAGAAAAACACAAGCTCCAGCCGTTCCGATAATAACAATCTAAAAATAAATATTGGTTTAGACGTAATACGTGGAATACCCGAATACAGCGGCTATCGCCTATCAGTGACTGGCAGGCGGGCGGCGGAATCCTCATTGTAATTTTGTATTTTTGTAATAAATTGCTTGCTCTCGCATTAGTCGCATTACGCTAACCGCACTACCCGAGTAACCGACTACGACTTAACACTTAACGTCTCACTGCTGTCAGTGTACTAAATATTGTATATTTTATTACGTTAAACTGTGGTGAGTCTTAACTGGTGAGAATAATAATACTGTAAACGACGTCTTCGATTTGTTTTATATAAAGTGTTTTTGAATCGTCATTATAGTTATTTAAATAAACAATTACATTTCCGAATACTTTGGCGAATATGAATAAAAAGGTAAGTTATAAACAATCTGCCAGCAACTGGAGAAAGCCACTAAAACAATTAGGTATTGTTTATTTGCTGGCACCAGTGTTGGTAGGCCAGTAGGCATGCTATTATGCCAACAACTGGTATCGTGTAATATTGGTATTATAATAAATGTAGTCAAAAGTCAATCATAAGTTATTTTTATGGAATTCCAGAATTGGTCAATGAAATGGGTCGTGGCAAAATTCATAGATACTAAAGATTATAGTGTTCTTCCCATAAATTGGCTGGTAGAAAATGAAACTGAAAAGTTGATCACCAGCACAATCAAATTTTGTAAATGGCCACCGATAAGATCTGTGACTAGCGATGATCTGAATAAAGCTGTGAAACCAAAAGATTCTTGGACACAGTATGAAATTAAGATACTTGGCGGTAACAAAACTCACGGTAAGAAAAAAACCATATTTAATTGACAGTATTTTGATAAATAAACAAAGTAAAAATATGAACTAATTAGTGCAATGTTTAACTATTAGACAACTTTAGTAAAGCATGGCATGTTCAAGTAGTGACTTCTGATAATGAAGAACCAGTGGCAAAAAAAAAATGCAATACTCCAGTGACTGATAGTTCAGATGACGAAGGTGAATTATAGAAATTTATTTTTAAAAATGTTGTATATTATTATTATTATTTACATTAATTACCTATTGGTTCTGAAAAACCATATAACAACAATTCAATAATGATTAATATTTAATTTAAATGTTTGTACCTATCTAGATATAGGTTTTGTTATTGCTCCAGCTATATCTAATAGTTTATTGATTGGTTCTCAAGACATGACTTTTAAAGACAGCATACCACAATTGTCTACAACTCCAATATATACAGATATGTCAATTATACCAACAGAGCCACAATCATCAACTGCTTCTTCAATATACAGAAATATATCAATAACAGAGCCACAATCATTTACTAATCAAATAACTTCAGATCAACATTCTGCAGAAAGGTCCATCTTAGAACAGGTAATTAATTTATATATATACAAATTAATTGGACGGTTTTTAAGAGAAAGGGCTTAAGTCAAATATTGATACTTTTCAGGAGACACAAAAAACATGTAACTTTATAAATTGTTTATGTTTTTTAGGCATTTTTATTTATCAGGTAACTTTATAAGTAACCAACAATAAATTATTGACTAACCTATTAAGTGTATCTATATTGTTAAAATTTGATACCTATCAGTTGCCATCGACAAAAGAGCACGACTTCTTTTGGACGTTTTGTATAATATAATTGCTATTTTGTACCTATATTAAATCATAAGTTACTTAATATAAATCACTTAACAAAATTTGCTATACAAAATTAGTGACTTAGGCCCTTCCTCATAGAAAAAAATTCTGTATAACGACTTAATACCAAACGCATTCTATTTTATCTCATAAACCAAATCCCACATGAAATCTACAGTGGTATCATTCAACGCGGCTTGAAATTTCACACAAAATTAATGCATCAACTGAAAATGTCCAAAATTGACTTAATTATGCCTAATCTATGTAACAAAATATGTTATTACTTATTATTGTAAAATATTGTTCATTGATGTAAAACAGATATCTAATTTTGAAGTATATCAAAATGAGTTTAGCAGCTCACAACAGTCGCAACTCATAATATCTTCAAATGACGCCAACACATCCACCAACACAAGTTTAAGAACGTATGAAGGTAAAACAATAGTCAATTATAATTTATAATTATAAGTGATAATTGATAAAATAATAACTACTAATAAATAATAATTAATAATTATTAACTTTTTATCATTAAAATAAATACTAAACTGGTTTTCAATTTTAAATTCGCATAAAAATTAAATTGCTGTTCATTTTAATTGTAGACTATAACCACAGTAATACAACTGAGTAGTAGTATTTTTTTTTATTATTTTATGATATTAACGCCAATCGGCTTTTTACATATAAAATAGTAAATTTTACATATAAATAGGTTATTAATACAAAAGTTGTAGATATTTAAATACTAATAAATTACAAGCAATAACAAATTAAGGCCAAATATTAATATTATTCTCATTTAAACTGTGTATTGTTCTAATAAAAGGATCGTTTACTAAATAGTAAGAACGGAGAGTAGGAAGGACCTTCCTGGAAGGTGAAAGGTCTCATTGGATATAGTATCGATGGTTAGAATTGGAACTCTCAGGTTTAAACGCTTGGAGCAGAAGCGGTTTGGGTATACTGTTTTTGGTGCACTGCACCAACAATGTTAGGGTGGTGGGTGGTCTTGATTGAGCATGTGCTGACCGCAATGTTTAATAAATGAATAAAGTAATAAAGTACCTAATCAATGACATTTGATAAATGATAATCGTGGTTAAAACTGTTGAAAGCGTCGAGTTAAGAATATAAGGTATTAGCATCGATTATAAATACTATATATAGTACTATAATATTATATAGCATCTAAGTTATCTTTGGATAACTTTAGTGCATTTAAATATGAAAACTATCTTCAGATACTCAAAAAGTCTATGAAGTGTTGTAGATACCCACTTTCTGAAATTAAAAATAAAATAACCGCATCTGAAGGAGAAGAATTAATAGCCGTTTCGACTTATGATGAGAATAATTTAATTAAATCTTTTAAGATAAATGAAAATATTTCAAATTTTGGAACCACTTATTATAACCAAATTACATTAAATTCCAACAATTATATTCTTAGTTGTAGTAATCCGAAAGATCAGTGTATCATCTTGGATGATGACAGTATTGCAATAATTCAAAATATATATAAACAAAATTCAAAAATTGATAACACTATTCAATTATCTGTTGTAAAAATCTTAACTATAAACGATTTATTTATAAAACCAGTGCCCAGTAGACATGTTGGAATTTATTTAATTAATACCAATTGTATATCAAGTCCCTATAATATTGTTTTAAACACTGTAAAATATAAATGTTTTTTCTCTCGGCTTATTAATAATCAAGCTGTTGTGATTTCTTTATGTCACAATGTTTAATTGTTTAATATAGTTTGTAGTTGTAAATAAGTGTAAAATGTATAATTATGTATTATAGAGCTTAAACATCAATTCTATATTTTTATTTCAAAATCAATAACTTTGTAACATTTCACTCGAGTATATACAATATATTAACATATATTAATATACTAATATTATTTACCCAACTATTTTGTTATTAAGTTATAAACAACTAAGTAATATAATATAATATAATACACTATTGTATTTATAGTTTTTACAACCAGTACCATATTATAGAATTGTAGGCATTTTTCAATTAAAAGTGAAATCATATATCAGAACCATATATTATATAATTTTAAATAATATTAAATTTAAGTGTTTTTTGTTCAACTTACCAATAATCAAACAAATGTAATCTCATTGTGCCATAATGTGTAATATACATGTTTATACTAATATACATTTTGAATATTTATTTATGTTTGATGTGGACATTTATTTAAAATAAACTTATTTATGGTACCTATGAATTGGAATTTTTTATTTTATTTGTAAATTTTATTTCAACTAATGTAATAACTGGGTATATTTTATATACCTATTTATGTAATTTTTACAAATACTTTGTATAAAATAAATATCTATGAGTAAGTGTGTCCATGGGTTATTCAATTTAATAAATTGATGATAATTGTTAGACAAAAATTCTTTATTTATTTATACAATTATTATAATAATTATACTTTATAGTATGAAATTATAAATTTAACTGTAGAGGTATGTGGGGGGGAGTATCTACCAAATGTACCTTTAAAGTTACAAAGAAAACATACCAGGAACATAATATTTCAAACTATTAATCGATAGTACCTACAAACATCCCGGGAATGGTTTTTAGAAAAATATTACTGTAGTGTTTCAAAAAAACCATTCAGGTAACATAAATCTGAATACAGTTACATAATGTTTTATACAATGTTACAAACAACATGGCATAAGGCGTTTCTGGAATGTTTTTGGAATTCATATGGAAGTTCCAAAGGAATATTCCATAGTTCCATTGGAATTGTTTTTTTACATAACTGTAACGGTTTTTTGCACAGTGGGCAGGAATCAAAATAATATTATTATCAACGTTTCATCATCAAACGAGTTTCGGATGACTGTTATAACAACATACTCGCACACTATTCGCAGTTTCGCACCATACTATACGAGTCGTGTCGTCACACACGTCGTCATCGTCCTCTTTTCTTGCTCGTCGTTGCATATTTTTTACGCGTCGACAATTTTCATTTTAGTTTTTTCAAAAAAAAGCGTATACGCGCATACCTGTACGGCACTTTTGGTTTAATCATTATACGGTCTACGGCGTTAACGTATATGTGTTGACGTCTAGTACCTACCTACCTCACCAATATATATATATATATATATGAATAATCTATTATGTTATATACGTGAGTGTTATTTTTTTCTGAGGGAGATTAATAATTGTATTTATTTCCATAAAGTTTTTCTTTATATTATTTTCTTTCACTCGTTACATCCACCGATGTAAACAGGTTATATAAAATATACAATATCGGAACGTCGTCGTTGTCGTCGAACGAAAATAATCGACACGCAAACATTAGCATGTTTTATGCGTCACCGCCGCCGGAACAGGAAGGCCCCACTATATGCATCACATCATATACATACATATATATATAAGTGTGTTTGTGTGTATGCGTGTGTACTGCAGGCAATGGAATGTACAGCTGCGGAAAACCGGCGAAAAGAAGTCGATAATCTCGGCGCGCGCTCCAGTTTTTAGTACAGAGCTAATACTTATTGTTTGCTCGTTTTTTTTACGCGAGGCAAGGCGGACGCAGGACGTTCTTATTTTTTCTACATCATTATTTTCGTTTTCGTTTCCGTCCGCCCGCGACTGAGCTAACCGACCGAATCGCATTACCGCGACCTCATTAATTCGGCACCCCCTCCCCTCGAAGACATCAAGAGCGCGACCGAAATTCTCTACGAGCCCCAATACGGAAGCGGACCAAATCGTATAGACCCGGAATTATACATGATATATAATACGTTAAATGCCTGCCCTCGACGACAAATTCGAGAGAGTCTATATACCGTATAGTGCAGCGTAAAAAGGGGCTCAAAATGAAACCGCCTATATACATAATATAATATCTATCTGAATATTATACGCGACCCCGAAGACGGACGGACAGTATAACATATAATACCTATATTATATTATATTATATAGCCGATGGAGTGGTGAGCAGTAGATGCTTATGATGAACTGACTGCAAACGATTTAAGGGTTAACGACGTTGCGCAAAAGTACAATCGCCAAGTTACGGATGAATATAATAATAAAAGGTACGTTGATACTATTATATACTAGTGCCTGTGCGTATGTAGCTACATATTATATTGTTATATATTCGTAACGATCTCTGACCGCCTTCGCTGTGGTCTGTCCCCCGACTGAACGCCAGAAGGAAAAAAAATCTCTCGGGAGAACGACGCCAATTACACATAAAATAATATTACCTTTGCTTATTTTATTTTATTATTTATATATATATATTTATTCGTACGTCCTAACAAACAACGGAGAACGCGGCGCTGTGCGTGCATATTATAAACAATAATAATAAATGCGCCGTTTTCGACTCGACGGGAATAGGTGAGTCCGAAGTTTTATCCGTATACGATCATTACCTATTGTTCTGTTTAATGCGCCCGGCACGCCGCGCTCTTACCCGTAACGCACAGCAGTCTAACGAGCATGTATGTATATAATAAGATTCGTCTATACGTCTGTAAACCTATATATATATATATATATATATATATACATTATATAATATTATATTATATTATTCTAAATCAGTAAACATAATATTATTTGTACAATAAAACCGATCGCCCAGTACGATATCTATATGGATGTTTTATATTTATATATATATATAGTTACGATAATTTCCGGACGCTATTTTTTACCCTCCACCCATACACACAAGCGCACCTTCCATTATCGTGAATAATAATATTATATTATATTATTATTATTTCCTTGTGCTGCACAGACCGTTTTTTACGAGTTACGGCAAAGTATACTATACTATACAGCGTTTAAGCCGTACCACCGTACGTATATAATAATATATATTATGCCTGTACATTATATTATTATATACCTGTACACTGTACACACATACTACACTACTCGCAAATATGCGCGTGCGTTTGAGATTTTTTTCTTCCTTTACCTGCGCACAATTTTATACATTCTTGTACATAATATTGTTGTATGTATCTGGGGAAATACGTTCGTATATACACAGTAAAAGAAGGGGCGTATAATATATATATATATTTACTGTCCAGATGTCGTTTACCGATATCGTAACTTTATAATATGCGATGTACATATTAAGCGTAATATATTGCGTTATTTCTGTCTGTTGGTCGCGCACAGCGATGGTCGATATAATATACCCGCGTACAGGAAAGTACTTAATACGTTTATTATATTATATTATACTATACAAAAGAATCTATGGACGCGCATATTAATTATATTGTATCGTCCGCAAGTGAAACGAAAAACGTTTGGAACGACGTTATATGATAATAGCACTGCACGTGAAACGGCGACGTCAGTGGACGGTGACAAAAAAATAAATCTCATACCCTTTTAGTCTCGGTTCGAATATAAATAAATGATACCAC